CTTTTCTCTTGTAGCTTTTCACTGGTAAACTATCAGTGATCAGTTCATTCAAGCAAATGCTTCACATATTTGTCCATTATTAAAGTCTACAAATGGAAACCTCTTTAATCCATTTCAAAAGGTTGTGATATTTTGAGGGTACACTTTAATCCAGCAGTCTCAAATTCTGGTTTCTAATCTCTTCATGAATGAAGGGGGGGAGATGCCTTTTGCACCATTTAATGGTGCCAGAGGGCTTTCTCCTCTGAACAGGAAAAATAACTTTCTATAGAAAGTTTCCTTTAATATAATATTTTAATTCTATGTGAATTCTGTTATGATTATATAAATGTTTACATAAATTAACATAACAAAAGAAACATTCATTTAACAATATCTCTGAAGTCTTTTGTCACTGCTTTATTTCAGTCAAGACATTTAAACTACAATTAATGTTGGGACTTACAATTTTTTAATGTTGAAAAGGGTTCTTCATACTTGAAAAGTTTGGGAAGCACTGATCTGATAAAGGTTTGCTTCATAATATTGATAGAATATCTGTGCTTATATTTGAGGTTTGTTTGTGCATGTGCAGTGACCCCCAAACTTTGTGGGCTGCTGGAAACACTTGGATGTTGAGAAAGTATTGTGGGCATTTTTTGCAAAATGCTTCCTCAGTCAAACTGATCCATTCATAAAAGGATTGTCACGATGAGGAACAGTTGCAAAGCACTGTTCTCCAAACAATGCCAACTTTTTAGGTTATAAGGATAGAATGGGATGAAACTAATATTTACAAAAGGACATTGCTATGTGTTTATCTATTGGCATGTAGATGTCTGAGAAAAAGAGGAATCTAGAATTAACAGAGGAGTTAGACTAAGTGAACATAATGATGCAAAAGACACTTAATAGAATTAATGGACTTCTTTCTTTATTACCAACATCTGTTTTGAACAACATAAATATAGACACTTCATGTGGAAAGTACCAGATGAACATCTTGTGAATTAAATAGAAATAGCAAATCAAATACGTAATGCAAAACAGTAGATTGAGAAGTGCAATCCGGGACGTTTCCAAAGCCAATTATCAAACCAACCATGGGTTATTAAGGGTCAAATATAGGGATTTCAGCCCTTCAAACTAGGCCAGATCAGAAAAAGAACTCCACATGAAATATTGAAATTGATATCTATTGATATAGGCTATAATAACAGAATCATGAGAATTGAACAATGTTTCTTCTTCCCTCTATCTTATATAAAGAGAGTTAATATAGAGTAACTTTACATTTTTTTCTTGACTATTTTGTTTAATCAGCTTCAGTTCATGGATTGCTATGGATTTTTCTTTCATACTTTCTCCAAGGTTATCCCAGCAGCTCTCTAATAAGGAGTTAAACATGAAAAATTAAAATGTTGAGATGTCAGCAAGTTTATGACCCTTGGCATACAGAATATAAGATAGAAGTTAAAAACAAATTTAATTCACATAGTCCAGATTAGTATAGAGTCCCCTGCTTAAGCAAGGGGTTACACTAGAAGACCTCCAAGGTCTCTTCCAACTGTGTTATTCTTTATTCTGCTATTGGACAAGATAGTAAAAAACAAAAGAGAAAATAAATCTAACATTTCAAAAAGGAATCTATCCAACTTTCGTACAAAACTAGCATGCTTACCAGGAAACCTGGAGGGTGAACATTTAGGGCAGCAAGAAGTGTGTAGAAAACTGAAAACAGAGTCCCGGTATTAATTGAGCAAGGAAAAGGAAAGGTATTTCAAGCAAAACATTTAAAAAAGGAGAGTATAACAAGAAAAATAAAAGGAGAGATATTTTCAAAAATCTCAGAAAAATCACAGGAAAATTTAGGGCTTAGATAGTAATATCCAAGAATAATTATGGAAGAAAGGAGGCAAATTAATTAAAGGAATATAGAAAAATGTGCCTAAACTTTTAACTTTGGGTGATAAAATGACAGTACTTGTAGACAGAGAATATATTCAGACATCATCTCTGTTACAAAATGAGGTACAATTAATCCAAGTGTGACATAATAAATGAAAGATAATAGATGAAATACTAGTATACTGTTAATATAGCAGTATAATAAGCTGTTAAAAGTGCTTATGGTTCTGAGTTAACCAGTAGAAAACATCACTGCATGACCTAGAGATCAGTCAAATTCAGTGTATATCTATCCCACAGTGAAGAAAAAAGGTGCAGGAGAATGCAAATTGCCCAAATTACTCCAAAGTTTGCTTAAAGTCTTGCAAAAATTTCAGCCCTATATAAAGAGAGAAATGTGAAATAAATGGGCAAATTCAGTAAAGTGGGGATAGCTCACATGAGATATCTAATGAGAACAAAAGAATGAAAAAGAGTTAGAACAAATGAAATATGGAGTTTTTTCTTTGATTCATTCACCACAGCAAAACCTTAGATCAAGGTTTTCAAACTATTTCGTGGAATTCTAGGCTTCCTCAAGAACTTGATGAGGTTCCATGAGCACCTAAGAGCAAACAAACAATTGCACGAACATAACCAATTTTCTGTCACTAGAAAAGCCTTATCTTTTCATCAAAGTTTCTGGGATTATTATACCAACAATTTCCATGGGCTGAAAATATTTAAAGACCCCTGATCTAGATGATGAGAGAATATGGAATGTGTTAAGGTAAATAATAGAACACCTGATAATTCTATTGTAATTCTTTATAGTAAATAAAGCTTATGTGAACAGCCTAAGTTTGATCTATAGCTTACGTCTGATCATTTGCCTATATAGCTTTTTTTTTTACCAAAGTCAGCATTAACTGTTGTCCCCAGATTAATGTGTGTGGCATTTACACCACAACTATGTGAGTGCTATATTGTATATTTTGTATTTCTTTGTATACTATTCTTTAAAAAGTTAGGATTATATACTGTAAGAATTCAAACTTTTTTTCAGGAATGTGTGGGGTCTGGCAATAATTGGATTGTCACTGCTATGCCATTAGAGTTAATAAATAGAAACATTATTTTTCATGTTATAATTCAAGTATCTGTGTTGTGGTCATATTCCCCTGACACACACACATACAAATTATTTGATCAGAACAATAAAACTGCTGGACAACAAAATTCCATTTCAGTAATATAGCATATAACCACCAATTTAAAATGGTACATCAACTTCTAATGACATAACATGTAATGTTATTTATCCCGGACATAATATTTATTCCTTGTTACAGCAGATCTAATTCTGCAGTAATTTGTTAGGACACTAACAAATTACTATAGAACAGCTGCAACAAAAATTTTAGCTGCATTGTATGTGATGTTAGGTTTTTTGTCTGATAAAAGAATAAAATTTATATATGATGTGATGTGATATTATTATATTATTATATTATATTATATTATATTATATTATATTATATTATATTATATTATTATATTATGACTTATACATGATTATCTATGGGAAATACAGGTACTTTTAAAAATTACTATAGTATATACTTGTGGATCAGCCCTTCTGCAGATAAGCCAAATCCAATTTTGGGAATGTATTTTGGCACCTAAAGATTTCAGCTTATCCAAGAGTTTGTTGTATAATATTGACTCTTTTTCTAGTCCTGCAATTCCAATCTAGAAGTTGTGTATGCAGTTTATGTGCATAATAATGCTTAAAAAGGAAGGATATCACACATTGCTCTAGTCTAGAAGATCTTAATACCTCTGTTTCTCTTCATATGCATTATATAAAAGGCATTCAGATGTACTGTATTTCCCAACTATTCATAAGAATATGGATATTTAAAAAGGATTGGACCTGAATCTTATGTTCTGCAACTAATTGCCCCCCCCCAAAAAAAGACTTATTAGTATTAACTGACTGGACCAGCTAACACCAGGTCCTCTAGAACTCACGAGAGCTTAAACTGCTTGATTGGTTGGTTTACACTACATTAAAATATTGTATTAAGATATTAAGATAAGATATTGCTGATAGAGATGGAATTGCCTTTCCTTCCTTCCTTCCTTCCTTCCTTCCTTCCTTCCTTCCTTCCTTCCTTCCTTCCTTCCTTCCTTCCTTCTGTACTGTTCTAGAATAGCAGCATTATTGCCCATTCTGTAATACGAGTAGTATAAGTACAGATATTATAAGATCTGTAGAAAGATTAGCTTAACAATGCTAGATTATATGGGTGACATCCCAAAAGGAATTATTGCAATTTACCAGACATTTGACACTGTTTAAAAGTGAATCCAATGATAACTTCATGAACATCAAATTGTATCAAAATAGAAAGCAACCTTTATTTTGATGCGTAATCCATGAGAATTTGGTTTATTTTCCTTTATAAGATAAAAGCATAGCAGAGAGCATTTCTGTATTTTGGCTATTTTTAAGACACACCACTTTAAAAACATAAACTATGTAAACAGTAAAAAACAAAATCCATAATCAATGCAACAGTGATCTAAGAGTTCTGCAATGTATCCATTACTCATATTCAGTCAGCCACAATGCTTGCTTGGATGTTTAATATAATATTCCTAGAAGCACTAGAAAATTACACTGCAATTTAGATGGATTCACTTTTTATGTTTTTATAAAGCAAACAAGCTAGAAAGCATTTTGCCATTTGGATGTTCTTCTCATTTATCTCTTTGATCACATTGGGCTTATCTAGGAAATGTGAGTACCTCCTTTTGCTTTGTTTGATTTTGAAATCTGCTGTGGGAAATTTACATTGCAGTGGATTAGTCTTTGTAGATTATAGTCAGTTGACTTAGTGTGGTTGAATTTCATGCAGACTTGCTTTCTTTCTGAAAGATGAATCCTTATGTCTAAAAGCAAAACTTCGAGCTGTATCCAACTGTGTTTGCCCATCAGCAAAATGGACACACACACACTGTATAATAAAGCAATGGATCATATATTATTCCATTAAAATGAGGCAGTTTCTTTACTCATAGCATAACTGAATTTTAGTTATATGTGATTTTTAATTCTTATTTTTCAGTACTCAGTAACTTCCTTCAAGACTATCCCAGAATTACGTAGGAAGTGTGATTCGCAGAATGAAGACAGAACAGGTATGCTACTTTTTGGAAACTTCATTTTTACAGTTGGTACAAAGCAGGGTGATTTCCTCCCCTTCCCTTCAACCTAACAGTCTCCTTACAGCTCATTTTGTGTGATAATTTTCCGTAACAATGGGTTTCTTCATTGCTACCATCCAACCCCAATCCTAACCTCAGTTTTTCCCTCTATTTTTTTAAGATGTTAGATTATTAGCAACGGCACCAACAAAAAGTTCCATAAAAGGATTTGGTGCTAGACAGCAAAACACAGAGTTTAATCTCAGCAACTCCAAACCACAGTATATGCAACAATTTACTGAAAAACCCGAGAAACCATTAGTGACAAGACATAATGATGCAGGCGCCAATGAAAAAATGTTGGATACATTTACTGCACAGATGGTCATGACCAGTTTGAAGCATAATGTTTTGCCAAATTCTGAAACTCTATCAAGAATGCTACAAGATAGAATCTACTCTGAAGCATGCTGTAACAGTTAAGATGAAAGCAAAGTTTTTGAGTTTAATAGTGTAAACTAAATGAAGAGTCATGGACTGAGATGAGAAACAGCTGGAGACCTTCCCCCCCCCCCAACAAAAAGTGCATTCAGTGTTGTTTTTCAGTTTGTAAATCGGATTAAGCTCTTTTGTTTCTTTCTTCAACGAGAAGCAAATTCTATGGATGAGAGTAACATATCTGCACGGCGCTTTGAAAACCTAATTATGCATAAATCAAATGGTGGTTTCATTAATATTTTAGAATGTGAAGTGCCCATAGTAGTGATTTGAAACTTCAGTTTGTGTTAGGCTTTTGAGAGTATTTTATTTCTGTATCAACTTTCATATGACAGAAAATTGCCAACAATTGTAACTAGCATTTTTCTATTGAATTCTTTTGTTACAGCCATTAATGACCAAATTGCCCATCCCTTTATAGTCTCACACAAGGGAATAACAAAAACCAATACTTTCCTCTTTCCTCATGTTGTTGTTAAATCTCCCTACTCTTATATAACTATAGTGATGAAATCAGTTTAATCTGCTTTTCTTTAAAAAAAGTGTAAATACTTGTTGTATAGATGTGTCTGTATGAGGTGTGTGTGTGTGTGTGTGTGTGTGTGTGTGTGTGTGTGTGTGTGAAAACCAGTGTGGTATGGTGATTAAATTTTTGGACTAGGACCGGGGGGTATCCAAGTTCTTTCCCTCCCTTAGGGATGGAAACTGATTGGGTGACTTTGGCCTAGTCAATTTCTTTTAGCCCTAGTCTGGAAAGTCCAAAAACATTGATTTAGCAACCTGATCAGAGTGGTAGATTACTGTCCATAATTTCAATAGCAATAGCAATAGCTCTTAGACTTTTATACCACTTCACAGTGCTTTACAGCCCTCTCTAAGCAGTGTACAGAGTCAGCCTATTGCCCCCAACAATCTGGGTCCTCATTTTACCGACCTCGGAAAGATGGAAGGCTGAGTCAGCCTTGAGGTGGTGAGACTCGAACTGCCAAACTGCTGGCAGCCAGCAGGCAGCAGAAGTAGCCTGCAGTACTGCATTCTAACCACCGCTCCACCAGGCTCATGAATGAATAGGTCTTAATCCACTTCAGCCAATGGATTTACTTGGGGTGTTGATGATCATAATTAGGATATAAACATGTGAGTATGAATGTTTGCAGCTTTTCCATACCTAAAATTAACCCTTTTAATCAAAAGCATATATTATGCAGCGTGGTATTGCTAAAAATTTACAATTTCCATTCAGAAGGTAATTTATTTTACACTGTTTGCTTCTTTATAACGAATCATGAAACATTTCTATCTCAAATTGCTTCTCAGCCCAAGGGCCAATAAAAGAGAGGGGGACTGATTCTTACTAAAAAAAAAATCTGATTTTCAGGTCAGTATTAATATAAATAATACACATAAACCATCTTTACTTTTTTATTTATATCTTGTCTTTCATTCAGTATCTTAACCCATCACTTCCTCTTCACAATTTCCCCCTAAAAGCCACCCTTTGAGGTAGGTTGGACTAAGATTAAAAACCAGACCCACATCATTTAGTGAGCTTCCTTGGACTTGAACCCAGGTCTTCCCAGCACTGTTCCAGCATTTGAAACACCACATGACCCTGACTTCAATGCCTAGCAGTTGACAACCCTTGTTTCTATTGGTCTCGTCTTTATTCTTGCATCTTCCAGATGTATAAAACCTGCCTCTATATATTCCTGAGAAGTCCTCCCAACCTCTTTTTATGGACTCTATGTTTAGCAACCTTTCACAGTCCAGGCAGTGCTTTATTGTGGGTTGTTAAGAATGTTGGTCTGTCAGAAGTAGAATCACAATTTGCCTTCTCTTGAGAAAGAATAATTGAAGAAAGTATATATAGTAATGAAAAGGAGAAAAAGAGAAAGAGAAAATAACACATGATAAGTATATGGATATTTTGAGTTCTGTAAAGACAAAATCAGCCAATGGCTTCCTCTACATGTTAAATCCAGAACAACCCAGCTTCTCTCCAGCCTTGGCAGCAGCTCCTTGCTTTCTTTGGTATGGATAGACAGTTGAAAGGGTTTTCTTTTCTATTTTTAATCAGTCATGTCATGGTTTGTCACGACTTAAAAGAACTGTGATTCATCCAAACTATATGTTAAATAAGCCAACTTCAAAACATGATTTATAAGATGATTAACCATGCTAAATTGCAATTAAACTAGTGTATAAGCAAAACTTTCCAGTTTTTTCATACCAGTCCAAGAGGGAATATTTCAAAAGTATGGGAGGCAGTTGCTCCTTACTAGCATCTGAGACATTTTTGCCAATTAAGACAAAAACTGAAATAGTTTCAGCGATACTTCTTATAATTGAAGTATATATATATATGATCCGTCTCTGTTTATTAGGAGCAAGGCTAACCATTAACCATTCTGATAACTTTATAAACCATTTAATCATTATGAAAACTTCATAAATCGTTTAACCATTCTGATAACTTCATAAAACATTTTGCATTTTTTATTCCAATTATGCACAAAGACATTTGATAGGTTATGTTACTTTGGATATATCTATGTGTTCAAAGGTATTAGTTTCCATTCTGTCTAGCCTGTAATTGTGCATTAAGATGGTATCTCACTGTGAGTAGTAAGTTTAACCAGCTTTATTATACTACAAGTGCAAGCTGATTGCCCTCCGGAAAAAAAAGATTAAGAAGCTAGAAGCAGAATTGTATACACCTAGTCTGGTTCCAATGCAGCCATATACCTTTCAATTAGATATCTGAACATGTTAAGGCATCACCAGAGGGGATACCGAGGCTCTCAGCCCATGGAAAGTCAGATACGGAGCCTTCTCAGAGACACTCACAGAATAATCCCCCCCCCCGCTTCCAGAGTTATTCTTTATTATTATTATTATTATTGAAAATTTTTAAATTTTACAAAAGAATTCCCTTCCCCAAACCCCCCCAACCCTCCCATATCCTCCCTCACCTCCCCAAACCTCCCATACCCTCCCCCAACCTTCCCAGAGCTGAGTACAGGCTTAGTTAAAATTTTTCAAAAAAACTTAAAACACATATAAATCCTAAGCAAATCTAAATACATTAAATTAAACAAGTTATCTTCTCTTAAAAATAATAATTACAATCATTAAACACGTTATAATATACTCTAAACATTTTCTAATATCATACTTATATTATTATTCATCATTCTTTATAAACTCCCTCCAAAACACAAATTTAAACATTACTTAAAACATTAAAATTCCCTTATACATATTTAAAGCAAAATGTTCCTTTAAATCTATACATACAATATAAAATCTAATCTCTCCCTCTTTCTTTATCCTAAGACACAAAAATAAACATATAAACATTCATTATACCATTAAGACTAAATACTCTTTTGAATACTCCTTGAATTGCTAAACTTAAACTTCTTATCTAAAATTTTCATTCAATCTCCATAATCTTCTCTCCTATCAAAAAAAACTTAAAACACATATAAATCCTAAGCAAATCTAAATACATTAAATTAAACAAGTTATCTTCTCTTAAAAATAATAATAATAAAAAAATTATAATTACAATCATTAAACACATTATAATATACTCTAAACATTTTCTAATATCATACTTATATTATTATCCATCATTCTTTATAAACTCCCTCCAAAACACAAATTTAAACATTACTTAAAACATTAAAATTCCCTTATACATATTTAAATCTTTACCAATAACCAATTCCATCCACAATAAACACATTCCTTATCAGTCTCTCTTATCCATAAACCTCGAAAGAAGTGCTTTGAAATCTGCCCTTAAAGGTTGCTCCAAAAAGTTTATAAATCTTGCTTCTCCCGCAGACTCAGGAACCAATACTTGTGAGGCTTCCTTAACCTCCTTCTTCTGTTGCTCCTTTTCTTTACGTTTATATGTTGCACGGGTTGTCCTCTGCTCCTTCATCTCAACTTGTTGAGGCCCCTCGAACTGAGATTTCCCATTTTTCATTAATATAGGCTCTTCAGACTGCAATTCTACCCTTAAAGGTTGCTCCAAAAAGTTTATAAATCTTACTCCCGCAGATTCAGAAACCAATACTTGTGAGGCTTCCTTGACCTCCTTCTTCTGTTGCTCCTTTTCTTTACAATTATATGTTGCACAGGTTATCCTCTGCTCCTCCATCTCAACTTGTTGAGGCCCCTCGAACTGAGATTTCCCAATTTTCATAAGTATAGGCTCTTCAGACTGCAATTCTACCTTCTTCTCTTCCAAAGCTTTAAACATAATAGATGGCGATGAACATACCCCCAGGACCGAAGTGTAAAAATCTTTTGCCTTAGAAACAGTATTAAGTCTATAACGTATCCCCAGGTAACTCACCACCATTCCAGTCGGAACATCCCATCTGAACAAGATTCGCCTCTTTTTAAGTTCATCTGCTAAAAAAGCAAACTCCTTTCTTCTTCTTAAAATTTTAGATGGGATCTCCTTTAAAATTATAACATCT